TTCTTTTTCTTTTTTTTTCTCTTGAAGTTTTTATCATTTTTCTTTTTTCTTAAATAACACAAAATAAACTCAATAACATAAAAATTACATTCTTGTTAAACATGACTTGCTGATCGTTCAATTTGTTGTTGTGCATCTTTTAACTTTGTAATTAAATCTTCCATTTCTTCATGTGTGCAAACAAAATCAACTTTCCCTTCATTATCTTTTACTTTTGTTTTAAGTGTGACAAGAAAAACAGGACTAATTTCTTTGTGCTCAGGACGAACAAAAAAATCTAATTTCCAGCTCACTCCTATAATCTTTGTCAATGTTGTTGTTGTTTCTTTTAAGATATTCCTAACCATCTCTTTATGCAAATCATATACCTCTGCTAAAACACTTCTTTTCTGTTTGTTCCCAATTTCATTTGCTTCTAATACTTCTATATATTGCTCCTTTCCAATATCATTTTTTGCTCCTTCCAAAAAGACAAGGCAAACACAGTCATACAACTTATCACTTCTGACACCCATTTCATCTCCATTACAAATCTCTTGGACAATATTTTCGCATTGCGTTTTTAATTGTTCTTCAGAAAGAACAGAAAGTTCTTGATTTAATTCTTTACAAACACCTTCTGGTATTTCCATTGAATAAACTTAGAATAAATAAAATAGTTCACCTTCCTTTTTTTTAAATATCTTTCTTTAAACTACCTTCCATTTCTTTTTAATTTATTTATATCCACTGAAAGAGAATAAATTTTTGTTTTTGAGTTAGAACACAGAGCCAAGGACTAACAAAGACAATGTAAGGTGTTAACTCTTTGACTAATTCAAAAGTCTTTTAATAACATAAAACCAATAAATAAGTATCTGTTAGTCTGTTAGTTAGTATTCCAATTAAAAGTTTCAATTAATAAAGTCGAAGTATAGTATATTAACTTATTTAATGAAAAACAACGCTTTGGTTTCGAAAGTGTTATTATTCCCATTATCATAAACAAAAACAAACAGTTATACTAATGAAAGAATTGATATCTCTTATCGAAAAATAATTTAATTTTTAATAATATAATTATTAAATAATTATAAATTAAAACGATTTCAGTTTTGTTTTATGTTCCTAATTATAAACATTTCCTTTAATTTGAATCTTTTAAACATTACAGACACCAAAAAAGAGATAAGTATTATTATTAATTAGAAGCAAGTTATATAGAGAATTATAAGAAAAAAGGATAATACAATAATTATAAAAGTATTATTGAGATGAGTATAATAGAATATTATAATGGCTATATTTATATACATGTAAATAATCAATAACAACTAATATTTATTAAAAACAATCTATGCAAATAAACTCAGTTTAAAAGTGTTAAATATAAAAGAGACATTTCTTTGTTTTTAATAAAAAGAAAGAATGATATAGATATTATTAAAAGAAGAAGAATTGAAAAAGACAAATAAAAATAGTTGAAGAATGAAAAATGGTCGAGAAAATTGTATTTTTAGGTTAGATAAATTTTTCAAAAAAATCTGAACTTGAAATAAGTAAAAATGGCTTATTTCCAGAAACTTGTACAGCATGGAAGTTATAATATTCTTAGTAAATTTTATAATCAAATAGGTCATGAAGATATACAAAAACCAATATTTATTGGTGGGTGTTCATTTTATATTCTTGGAGTAGAATTTAAAACTAAACAAATGGATAAACAATTAGCAGAACAACCACCAGAAGTTTATCTTCAGTACAGTTCAGCACCAGCATTTTTTCGAATATCAAATTTATTTTGGATGACATACCGTTCAGGGTATGAAAAATTACCAAATTCATCATTAACAACTGATGTAGGATGGGGGTGTACTATTCGTGCTATGCAAATGATGATAGCTAATGCAATGGAAACAATTGTATATTCCGGTGCTCTTAATAATACACAAACACCATACATCCCAACAAAAGAAGAAATAATGAATGTATTAGTTCCATTTATTGATTCACCTAATTCAACAACTCCACTATCAATTCATCATGTTTATGAATCTCGTTTTGTAGTAGAAAAAAATAAGTCTGGAGTAAACTATTTAGCTCCATCAGTTGTTGCAAAAGCTTATTCGTTTGTTGTTATTCATTAAATAAAAACAATAATTTACTTAGTAGAGGTCTTGTTAATTCATGGAAATTATGTCCTATTAGATGTGTTATGTGTTCAAATGTTTCAATACCAACTCATGAATTAAGTAAACTTCCTTTTAAACCAACTCTTGTATTTCTTCCTATTGTATTAAATCATTTAATTCATTCGAAATTACAGCAAATTTATAAATCAAAATTGTTTGCTGGTATTGTTGGTGGAATGGGAGACAGAGCAATTTTTGTTTTTGGATTTCATGCATTACAATTTCTTTATCTTGACCCACATATTGTACAACCATCATTTAAATCATTTACTGAAATAGACACAAAATCTTATTCTCCAATTAGTACAAATAGATTTAGTGTTCATACAATAGATCCAACTAAATTAGATGATTTTTGTACTTTCGGATTTCTTATTAAAAACTTTCACGAAATTGATGATTTTATGAAGTTCGCAAAAGAAGTTTTTGAGATATCAAATGATAAAGAATTGAGAACTTCTCATGATTTAAATGGTTTTGAAGTATTAGATTTTTAGTTGTTGTTTAATTTAGTTCATGAAAAATATTCTTTTGAAATTATTTTTGTTATATAAACAAAAAACAAAAACTATATTTAAACAATCAAATTTAAAAATATAACAAAATAAACTTTTTATTTTTAATTAAAAAATAATTAAAATAGAAAAATTTTATCTGTTATTAAACTAGTCCAAGAAGACTTTGAAAGTCTGTTTAATAACTTAAAGACAACCAGCAATTTTGTTTTTATTACTGGTTATTAAAAGAATTTTTGTGGTGATGTTTATTTTAATTGTAATAATCTATTTTAAAAATTTTTTATGAATATTTTCATTTCAAAAAAAATGTCTCATTTCTTTTTTTTTATTTTATTCAAAATAAGTTATTTTATTAAATTAATAATTAAAAACTATGAAAAACAAATTTTTAGAAAATATTAAATAAAAAAAAATAACAAATAATAGATATATTCACAATTAGATTTTCTTCATATCGAGAAGTGATTATTTCAGTTTCTTCAATATGTTCTACTTCTACAATAGAGTTCATTTCTCAAATTTTTAGAAAATATTAAATAATATAAAAAATATTTTGTAAAGAAGAGGCATGAATTATTATTTATTTTCTTCTAAATAAAAGCAGTTTCAATAATAAAACTTTTTTTCTCATAAAGATTTTTCTAATGTGAATGTAACAAAAATTGGTTTCTTTGAGAGTTATGAGAGTTGAGAACCAATAAAATAAAAAGGTTATTATAAAGATTAATAAACTTGTTAGAATTTTTTTAAACTAACGCCGTGTTAGTTTTTATTTTATAGCATGTGATGAAAACTAGTTAAGTAACTCGAGACAGATTAGTATTATTAATGCTTATCTCCAGAAAGTTGAAAAAGAATGTTTTATTTTTTTTTGGTTTGATACAAAAAATAATCAGAAGAAATAAAAAACTACAAAACGAAAAAAAAAACTAAAAATAGATATTTAGGTGATTTTTAATAAAAAAAAGAAAAAAGAGGAGGTGAAAGAACTTCAAAAAAATGAACTTAAAAGAAACAGAATTAAAAAAAAGAATTAAGATGGGAAAAGATTATGTTAAATCTGTTTCAAAAGAAATCGATAGATTTATTGGGTTAAAATATGATATGCCAAATAAAGTAGAGGCTATCACTGATAGAATAAGAACAAATTATAAGAAGTTTTCTGTTATTTATACCACATTTGCTATTCTTGCATTCTTTATAGCTACTTTAATTACAAAAGAATTTTATGCTGTGTTTATTGCTTTTACTCTCTTCTGTCTTATTTCTGTTGTTATTGGAGAGGTTAAACCAAAAGTTCCAATTGGAGATAAAAAATATAAAATTGAAAAAGAATATGCATATATCGTCACTGTTTTAATTACTTTATGTGTTGCTTGTTACACTAAAACTATTCCAACTCTTTCAAAAACAACAATTTTTACAGTTATTCTTTTAACTGCTCATTCAATTTTTGCACATCTTTCAATTGTTGAAACTGCTACTCATTAATTGAATTGTTTGGAAGTTATAATAATTCTCTTTTTTATATTTTTTAGTTTTCTTTTTTCTTTGAAAACTCCAAAATGTTTGTTAAAATGGCACAAGAACAACAACAACAAATAAAAGAAAACTTTTTAGAGTCTCAGAAGATTGGTACAGAAAATGATGACCAATTTATCAAACAACCCCCTCTTTCAGAACCTACTGAGGAAACAGAAATTCTCTAATGAAAAAGAAG